CCCCTTTGTCCTTCCTGTTCTCTGTCTTTTTCGCTCCCTGCGCCCGGCCTGTGCTTTTGCGTTTTTACGCTTTTTTATGTTTTTGGCGCGCTAGGAAGTGGGCTGGTGTGGATTAGGCCAGGGGTCAAGCGTGGACAGGATGCCGTAGCGCTCCCACCGCGGTTGAAGGTTCACGAGCGGCCTGTTGCTAGCGTGTATAAGCTGGGTAGTGTTGCTGACAACCCAAAGGTCCTTGACTTCCCAATGTCCAGTGGTGGGGAAGATGTATCCGTGCCTCGAGCAGGAACCTGGACAGGGGAAGAAGGAAAAAGAGAAGGTGGTGTGCAGGGGAGTCTCACAAGTCTTGCAACGTCTGGCCAGAGGGCAAAACAGCCAGGCAGTTTGACCATGGACTTGGCCCACGACGCTAGGACGCTTGTAACGGTGGCGATGGCGGAAATGAGGAAGCAGGGGTACGCGATGGAGATGCAGGTACGACGGGCTCGTCAGTTTTCTGGTCTATCTGTTGTTGTTCAGGTGTGTGAGCCAACTGAAGGCGGGTGCTGTTGGTAGTGTGCCTTGGCTAGGTGCCGTGGTTGGCATGTTTAGCTTGTGCTGTTGGTTCTGATACGAAATGATGGTGAGGTTATCGTGGGATAGTGTCGTGGGCGATGAAGGGGAATTTGCATGTGCCAAATGGCGAGGAGCTCCGAAACGTACGTCGAAGGAAGGCGCGGCTGGAACAGGACAGACGAAACGGGGAACATCACCAGACGGAAGGACCGTCGGCGCCAAAGGCAATGATGTCAGTATTGTTTCCTATGCCTCCAGTATGTTAGGTCGTTGTCGCGTCACGGTGCGAGGCTGGCGCGATAGAGGGCACCAGTCTCCGTACCGTAAAGTGGCCTAGCCGTCGTTCGAGGGAAAAGGCTCTGGGAGGCAGGAGCGCACGGCAGAGAAAGAGCGTCACGACGCACAGAAAGCAGACAAGGCAAGCACGAGGAGGCACATATATACAAGATACAAGGATAAACAGGACAAAGGCAGGTATGACAAGACAGCTCTTTCCCTTGACGACAAAGACTGGCTGGTAGTTACGGGAAAGTGCATCCAGGTATGCCAAAGCCTTTTCTTGGACGAAGGAAGGAGCAAGAGACACAAACGGGCAAATGTTAAAAAGGGAAAAGCGTGTCCCATAAGGCTCAAAATAGAGGCGAAAGGCGCTACAGGAGCAATGCGCATCGCAAGCGAGGTGCAGGTGCAGCATCGCCCTGTTTTTCATTCCGTCTGGCTTGCATATGACGCTCCGCGGCCACAAGCGAAGCACGCGCAGGAAAGCAAACAACTTCAGGGAGAAGCGGTAAGGCGAGCAGGCGTGCTTGCTCGTCCTGCTAAGCAACCCGAGCCATGCAGCGTGCGCGGCAGCAAATTGTCCGTTGTGAGGAGATCACCAAATCAAAACAAAGAACGAGACGTTGAATGTCAACAAAAGTCTACAGCAACAACAGCAGCAAATACTATCGATTGCTGCAGGGCAGCGTCGCATGCATATGAGCCGTAGGAATGCCCCAGACCAGAAAGCACGGCAGCTGGTGCATTTCGTGAATGGCCTGGATGATATGACGGATAGCTGGATCTCCTGATGGGTTGAATTGCCCGGCTCTGCTGCGGTACCAATGCGAAAATATATTGAAATGCAAGACATGAAAATACTCGACATCCCAGGTTCGTTGCCTTGATAAGGAATGCCGGGCACGCGAGACAACACGAGAAGGCCCACCAACAAAGGGTCTGGATGGGGTTATCACCGAACGACAGGTGAGACATGCATTGACATGTGGAGGACAATTGCTAATGGCAGCCGCAGACGCTGGTGGCGATGGTCTCACCAGTGGGCGAGAACGAATCGGACTGCACAATAACTGTTCGATGTTAACATCATATCAGTGAGACAGGACAGAGCGACGAATTGGCAGTCTCGACGGCATTGTCAAACCAGGCCCTGGTTGGCTGTCAACGGCCGTTGTGGACGACGAGCATTTGCACAGAGACTCTGAGAGTGTAATACGGCATACGAGATATAGTACACAGCGTCAACGCCAATCTTACCGTACGACACACAAGCGTTTGCATCTTCCCACAGGTTTTATGGCAATGCCATTTGAGCCGACTTGCAAACGAACCATTGCCCACTGCCAGACGCGAGATGCCGTATAGCTCAGTGCACGTCGCGTCTGGTGACGACATAAGGACAACGGCCCTTTCGGACTGGCCATATGTGTGGATATAGATTGCCTTGTATATGCGCCGGTAAGCCAATTTCACATTCCCAAAGCATGTAGCGATAGCATACCGTCAATATAGCCTACAGGATCAACTACTGCGCCGTTGCTCCAGGATAGACAAAAAAACAATAATATAACGTCGTATAGCAAAGGACTTCGGAATCACATCACAATTTCAAAGAGCAAGCATCGTATCGCGGACCTCAACAAACAGCAGACGAACAACCCAGTGCATATTTCGACAACATAATGTCTCGGGAGTCTCGCTGATGAAAAAGAAAGTAAATAGAGAGGCGCGAAGCGACCCAGTTAATCGTTACCAATGTCAGTAACGTCGTAATACCCCGTTTAACTCGATATTTTGAAGACTGCCACGCCCACCGGCCCCGCCCTGTCCACTCAATGACCCTCCCATCATCGCCTCGTTGGTCCGATTTCATGTCCATCACTAACGACCTTTGACAGCTGCTATCCGGGTGTAAAAATCTGTGCCAGCGTCAATTCTCCATAGTTTTTTAAAAGTTTTCAGTCTGGTCATCCCAAACTATATCACCTCCCGTCAGCTGTTTGCTCTTTTGTCAACATGAATCCATTCCTCGAGGTTTTGCTACGTTTTCCTTGTTTCCCTGTAGGGGCTTTAATCCTTGTCCTCGTCTTCCCCGTTCTTCTCTGGTTCTTGCACGGCACCATGTATTACCACTCACGCCCCATCGCCGAGCAAGGTCCCACAAATAGTATGTTCCACTGATGTGCACCTTTGTATCCCAAAACGTACAGATTGTGAAACAGCAAAGACACAATTTTGAAAGGCAGGAAACAGGAGGCAGGAGGTAGGCGTCAAGGCAAAGTTGATGAGAAAGGAATAGGAGAAGGAAGAACTCACAAGATCCAGCGCACATTTTGCTGAAGGATGTTAATTTCGTTCCTCTTGCAGGATTGCTGCTGACTGCAGCCCCAAGGTCCCAAAAGCGGGATTTATCTCGTATATTTCGTGATACGTTCGTCTGAAGACATGGAAGAATGCCTTGCTCAATACGACGTACGAAGAATGACATCAAAAGCGTAGAAGAATGCCGGATATACAACGCCGACATATATTGTGCTCTGTATTTCGTACAGCGTGCTCTGTACATCGTACGTCGTACATCATGGGCAATGGTAAACTTTGTCGCAGGATGACACGAAAATGTTACTCCCCTTGCCAAGGCATGTTGGCAGTCGTGTCCCAACCTGTCTACTGTTACTTGGTAAATTGAATGTCACGTATTACATCCGCCTGTCGCATCCAACAGCGTCGAAAAGTTCCTTTTTCTGTGCCCATTTTAATTACCCTTGCTGACCTTTTCCCTCCAACTGGTCATTCAGACCTACAGCCCACTGCCAAAAAGGAAACATCGTTATTTTTGTTATTTCGCTATTTCGTTTTGTCAAACGGAATACTCAAAATAGACAGCGTGTTCACAATGCGACTGTGACCAAACATGTCTTTTCACCCGTCTACTGCGCATTTGATCACACATTTTTGCGATTTGCTGAGCAAAAAGTCCGTGCGCCAACTGCGATTGTCGGTTCTTTAATTCACCCCGTTAGATATTTCCATTCACATATCTCGAGGATCGGTGCATCTAAAAATACACCGAAAATATGACAGTGTCAAGGGAGGCGCAGTGTCATGAGAAGAAGCCAAAAGACGGCCCAGGGAACCCCAATCCATATGCAGGCGCTTAGAGGTGTAGCAAGAACAGGCAATGATGCTGTTTTGAGCGACGAGCATACTTCATACTCCATACGCCACAGTTCCCCTTGATACAGAGCGAGTCGTTTACAAAACATTTGTGTTTCGATTTTCCGCATGAGCAAACAAAACCGGTGATCCTCTGTTTGTAGGGGGCTGTAGGGGCCCGTTGGGCCAGCGCGCGGGAAGGAAAGGAACGGGCGATGCGGTTCAACAGGGGCTTCACCAGGAGAGTCAAGAGAGCGGCGTCACTGGATGCCTCTTGGTCTGCGTCCCTTGGCCCAAAGACGAACGACGCCAGTCGACATATTGTCTGTGTCCTCCTTGGCCAATACACCCGCCAGCACTGACCTCTCGTCCATCTATCTCGGACAATCTTCCATGGCATTTTCCCGGTTTATGGCCCTTTGGTTGCCCGTTTTGCTTTTGGGTCGCAGTGCGTCGTGGCTCTGCAATCTACGGAGTAATATGTCGTTGTACTTGGGTAGAAAAGAGAGAGGCCCCTGCTCACCCACCCCTCCTCCATCCCGTTCGGAGGGGCTCAAAAGGAGGGGAGACGCAATTGAAAGACGCGTTCGTGTCGTCGTCGACGCGTCTCGTGGTATCAATGTTGATGTGGCTGCTGTGCTTTCTGGGCGTGTTGTGTTGACAATGAGGGCAAAGCATTCGGTGGGCATTGTCAGCTGCGCACAGAACGTTTCTATTCTACGTATAAACAAGAGCAAACAAACGACGAAAACGTACTTGATAATGTGCATTTTGCACGTATTATAGATGGTTTATAATGACCAACAAATTGAGAACAAAAACAATACATGAGTCTGAACACATTCGGCGCTCTCAACGACGGGCGATGACTAGGTATCACTACAGATCGAAACGGAGAATGGTAAAGCGTCGCTCGCCATATACAAAAGAGCGCATATAAAATCAAACGCAAAACAGTGGAAACCCAGGCTCCCGAACGGAAGAACGACCTACGTTCGCCTCGCTTTTCATGCCTATTGCCCCGGCTGACCAGCGCCCCAGACATTCCGAAACTCATCGCCTTCCAGATTGTAGGTCGGCGTTGTCGTCTCGAGCACGGGGCTGGCGTTGTCGTCCTCGTCGTCATTCCGCCGCCACAGCCGCAGCGACTCGTTGTCGTCGCTGGCGGCACTCTGGTCGTTGGCCGGGCCCTGACTGCCCGCCAATCCGACATCTCCTTTTGGTGAGATGGGGGGCGCTGGGGTGGTTTCTGTGCTTCTGCTGGTGTTTAGCGTCGGCTTCGCCACCACGTCAGGGTCGCTCTTGGTCTTTCTTGCCGTCTTGTCCGACGACTTGTCCGACGTCTTGTCGGCCGTTGGCAGGGCACCAGACTGCTTCTGCTTCCCCTTGCCCTTCTTCTTTTTGGACACGACAATAGCCTCTGGCGCAGCCGGGGTTGCGTCTCCTCTGTTGCCGGGGCCAGATTCACGGTCGCTTCCACCACCACTGGCACCACCACTGGCGTTGGTGCCGCTTCGTCGCGGGCCGCCGCTCAGATCGGGCGTCACAGGGGACACAGGCGAGTAGTAGCCGGGAACCGGCTCGTAGGTACCGCCCAAGGCTGTAGTTCGCCACCGGGCAGCCCGGGACGGGACGTTGGCCGGGACGACGGGATAGTTCCAATCGCCGTACTCGAGCTTGCGAGCTTTGCCGTACAGCTCCTCCATGTCCTCGTCGAGCGCCAGCTCGCCGAAATAGTCGTCGGTTGTCTGCGAATGCGAGTTGCTCCTACTCGGGCCGGCATTGCCATTTCCATAATCACCGTTGCCGTTGCCGTTGCCGTGGCCGCTGCTGTTCTTCCGGCCACTGCTGCCGTCGCTATTGTTTCCACCCAGCAACGGTGTGTACGGGTCAGGTTCGTTGGCATTGTTCGTCTTGTTGGGACTGGGGATCCAGTACTTGCCCTTGCCGCCACGTTCGTAGCGCATACCCGCCTTGAGGCGGGCGACACGCGAGCGCGAGTCAGCATGGGCCATGATCTTGTCGTTGGAGTCAAAGTCACGGTAAGCATAGTTGTCGCCGCGGAACGTGAGCTTGGAGTCTTCAATGAGGTCGCGGATGCCAAACGCGTCCCGCACGGCGTACTTGACAGGCAGCCGGGCCGCCGACACGGTGTCGTCGGCGTAGTCCTGCCACGAGAAGGCGTACCAGTGGGCCACGGCAAAACCGGGCATCTCGATGCAGATCAGGGCGTCCTGGATAGCCGCGGCCAGGTTGTCGGGCGTGTAGCCCTCGACGTTGTCTGGCAGGGCGCCCAGGAACACGAGGATGGAAAGCAAAAAGCCCTGCCAGTACGAGGCAAAGATGATGAGCTTGACACACAAAAACTTGGGCACGGGCCGGAAGGGCGTCAGGTCCTTGTTCATGCAGACCCAGAAGAGACCCAGCGAGTACAGGCTGACGGTGACGCTGAGGTTGTAGATGATACCGCTCCAGAAATAGCCCGAGTTGAGACCAATGTAGCCCTCCTGGTAGGTGCCAGTGGCCTTCATGACGATGGCGGCGATGCCCAGGAGAGGTTTGAGCCAGGCATACTGCAGGATGCCGCGCTTGATGCCGAGGAAGGAGTGGGGGTCAGAGATGTCGACGGGGGGGAGAACGTGGTTCAAGGGCCACAGGTGGGAGATGGGTTCACGGCCATGGGTCATTATGATGAGCGAGCGCTCGCCGCCGAGATAGTTGATAAGGAGCTGGAAGAATGTATAGATGGTGAAGGCCTGGTAATGTCAGGAATTTGTGGGACCAAAGACGTTGGACATGGGCCACGGGGAGCAGCCGAAAAACAAACCTCGTAGATGTCTCGGATGGGGTCGAGGAATTGGGCGGCGGTGGTCGATATCATGCTGGAAAAGGACGATATGGAGTAGATGGGGACCCTGTCAGAGTCAGTATGAGCATGCTGCTATGCAGATGTATCGGTGATTTGGTAGTTTCGTACATCAAAAGAATACGGACGACATATCGCTGCAGGAGCGGTTTGCGGTAGTTTTTCCTAGAAGTGTCAGGACAGCCAGCGCAAGGACGTAAATGACAATAGCATAGACACGTACAGCTGAAGCCATATGGACCTGCGGAACGAATTCAATCATTAGCAGACAGTCGAGGGGCCAACATCACGACATACGGAAGCTGGCTACATACACGATCGACATCAGCGTCGCGGCCAACGATGCGGCACCGGCCAAGATCACCGTCGTCTCGGCCAGCTTCTGGCCCGTTCCTCCGACCATTTTGATTGTGGGAAATTGCGCGGTGCCGAACAAGGACAGAATGGAAGATGCTGGGGTGTGTCGCCGTCAGTGGCGATGCGATCGGATCGCGGATCAGACGCGTTTCGGGCCAATGAAGTCGAAAATTGGAACCGGCGAAAGGGGGCCGACAAAGCGTGCTGGGCCACCGGCTGGGTCGCTTTAGCACAAGTCTACGCGGCGACATGCATCGTCGGAGACAGGAACAGGGCAGAGGGATCGCGGGAGGTCGAGCTCCGGAGCACGTCGGATGGCGATGAGGTGGGCGTTGACGGTCGAGATGTGGAAGCCTGGCTTGCGTAACGGCGTCCTTCCGCTATGGCGAGCGGTAATGACGACGTCAGGACTCTAGCACTTGCATGGTGCTGTGTTGCGCTGTAATTTGTTGGTGCATTAGCGCGGTTAGGCTAGGTCATGCTGATAAGGCCTTATCGGGAAGGCGTGATAGGCGTTTTTGGCACACATTGGGAGCTATGTCTAAGCGCTAACAGGTCTACAGCAATTGACAGCTCTTCTTATCTGAAGGTCGCGGCCACAGAACCGTACTCCAGAAACTGTACGTTGCTTTGTCGTTTGTCGAGCTTAGTACTGAGAGAGAAGAGTTGTATTTGACATACCGCAGAGTCTGCGTTTTTTTATTGTTTTGGTTGGGAGGATTTCTTTGGTTAAATAGATGTACATTATTTTATTTTTTTAAAAAGATTAATAAATTAATAATTTTCACATAAAAAGAAGAGCTGACCAAATTCCTGCATACCACTCTCAAAGCAAGAAACGCAGCCCGCCGTCAATACAACGCCGTCGGCTTCAGAGACTATACATAAAAGCCTTACCAGTCTATGTCCTGATCGTTCATCGTTCCTTCCAAACGTGGAATGCCACACTCGACACGAACGACGGAAACACATCGCAGACTGAATTGTGGAGACGCCCCTAAACTTCGGGATGGGCAGCTCGGCAGGTGCATTAGCCTGCTCCTTCCCCTAAATCGCGACGCAGCCTTATTGCAGCGCGCTATCACCGATAGAAGCTCCCGACCAAGAAGGACCAAGGCTGCACGGTTGCTCTCAGAATTCCACGTGCTCTCGACGCATCGTACACAAACAAAACTCACGCACAAGCGAACCAACGACCCGACGACACCCACCGCCCCTCACCCGACGGACAATGAGCAGCTTGCCACCCCGTGATGGCGTTTAAGCTGCGTGTCGAAGCAGCGAGGTCACGACTGGCAGAGATTTGAAGCCCCAAGTCATAGCCTCCCAAGGGGGTCCTGACATGATGGGCCTCCACGGTGACCTCGATCCCAGCGTCGATGTCCGCGCTGTGGCCTTTGCCGGAAGTGCCTTCAAGGCCAATGGTAGCCGGTTCAGCGGTGTCTTCCTGGCCTACATCATCGTCGCGACATTTTTGGCCCTCTTCTTCCTCCTCTACTTCAACCGCCTGTTCGCGTCGATTGTCTCGTGGGCCTTGCGCACGTGGACATGGCACCGCTATGGCATCTACATTGACGTACAGGCCGTGCAGTTCTCGCTACTGGGTGGCCGTATCTTCTTTGTTGGGCTGCGCTACCACGGCAAGAACGAGACGATCCTCATCCAGAACGGGCACCTTACCTGGGCCTACTGGCTGCGGCGCGTGCGACACATTAACCTGGGCAAGCGGCGACGACAGACCGGCAAGGGCCCTGCCGCCTCGGAGGATTCCAGTGACCCAAACGAGGGCAAGGTGCACCAGAAGACCAAATCCAAGATCCCCTGTCGCATGAGCGTGTCGCTGGCCGGCCTCGAGTGGTACGTGTACAACCGCAGCGCCGCGTACGACAGCATTGTGGCCGGCTTGACGGGAATGAATGACTACCCGGGTGAGAACGACGACAACAAGCACAGCGCTGAATACAATGCAAACGAAAAGTACGAGGAAATCAACCCCAACCAACCCCTGCACAGCGATGAAATGCTACATAAACTACGAAAACGGCGAAACAACACCAGCCACGGCGACGACGGCGAGCGACTGGGACTGGGCCACCAGGTGACGGCCTTTGTCGAAGCCATGAAGAGCAGGACCGGCGACAGCAGCGGCAAGCGTCCACCTGGCCGCGCTGACTCTCTGTCAGCGTCGGCGTCGTCCGAGGACGGTGGACACGGCGATGGGAACGCAGCTGGCGCATCGGAGGCCGAGCAGCGAAGAGCAGCCGACGCGGCCGACAGCAACAATGAGGCATTGCCGGCTTTCCTCCAGCTCTTCCCTATCCACTTCACGTGTGACAAAGCGGCTGTTGTGATGGGCAACGAGAACACTTCGGGCATCCTCGTCGTCAAGACCCAGGTCCTGTCCGGCGAGATCGACGCCCAGCACACCGAGACCCCTGATCCGTATCGCCAGATCTTCCGGCTGCAATTCCAGAAGCCCGTTGTCGAGATCCGCGACAACGACGACTACCGTGAAGACCAGACGACCCGAGCCGTGCGTGAACGCCAGATCGCCGACGACACCGGGCCCCTGCCGCCGCGCTCGTTCTTCCGGCACTACCGCCGCTCCGCCTACAGCCAGCTGCGCAACCTGCTGCCCTACTTCCGCAGTTCCGTCGAATCGTTTACTTCGGCTGATCCTCGTGATCCGCCGGCCACGGCGACGTCTGTTCGCTTACCCGGCTCTGTCCACTGGCAGGGCTTGTCCCGGTATCTCGACGGCCCGGGCGGCGACGAAAAGACGCGGTGGACGGCCTCCGAGTACGCTATGCTCAACCCGATCCTCGAGAGTCCGGAGGCGTTCTTGACGCTCTACTGGGACTCGGCCGGCAAAGTCACGGCCAGTGCTATTGCAGGACTGCCGCCCGGCGACGACGCCGGCCGTGCAAAGCGCTCTGGGAGGCCGCCCTCTCTGGACGTTTTAGACGTCAACGGCAACGAGCCGTCGCCCGCCTGGGGCCTATCTCTCTCCATCCGCGGCGGCTCCGTCAACTACGGGCCCTGGGCTGACCGCAAGCGCGCCGAGCTGCAGCGCGTCTTCTTTCCCGGCCTCAGCAAGGACGCCACGCCCGCGCCCCGCCTGCCAGTCGGCGCCGTGCGTCTGCCCACACAGTTCAAGGTCTACGTCGAGCTCGACGACGAGGTCACGCTGCGCGTCCCCACCCGCGAGGCGTCCAAAAACTGGCGCTTCAAAGGCAAGGATATGGCCACCAAGTTTCGCTCCGCCCGCGATAAGCGCAAGAACCGGTCCCGGTATAAGAAATCCGAGCCGGCGCCCTCTGCCTCGGGCCAGCGGCCGTACGGCTGGCTCGACATCAAGATCGCCAGCAACGCCACCATCTCGTATTCTATGGATATGCTCGCAACGGCCACAGGGTTCCGAGCGACGCTCGATCTCGACCTGCCGCGTGTCGAGATCTCGAGCAGCGTCAACCAAGAAGCTCTGTGGCGGTCCGGCGCTCTGCGCATCGCCTGCGATCTGTCCACGCCCCTCAAGTGGAACGCCCTGCGCCAGTGGCGCTTCCACATCACCAGCAACGACCTCGAGCTTTTTCTGCTGCGTGACCATGTCTACCTGCTCACTGACTTGATTGACGACTGGGGCACCGGTCCGCCCGCCGAGTACCTTGTGTTTACGCCCTTCCAGTACTACATCGATCTCGCCCTCCCCAACGTCAAGATGTATCTGAATGTCAACGACGCCAACATCATCAACAACCCCACCAGCATGGACGACAACACCTTCATCGTCCTGACCAGCGCGCTGCTCGAGGCCTCCGTGTGCGTCCCGCTCGACCAGTTCCGCCCGCCCGACAACGCCATCCCCTTTGACGTGCGCACCGACGCGGCCACCGTCGAGCTGCACGTCCCGCCCTGGAACACCCAGTCCATGTTTGTCCGCGACAAGCAGGTCGGCCGCCTCAGCATGCTGCGTGTCGACGGCAAGTACCAATACCACGCGGCCACCGCGCCCAACCTCACCGACACCTTGGTGCTCAACATTGCCGGCCAGCGGCCCTGGTTTACTGCCTACGGCTTCATGGTCCGCTATTTTATCAAGCTCAAGGACAACTATTTTGGCGACGATGTCCACTTTACGACCCTCGAGGAGTACCAGGACAACCTCCGTCTCAAGGAGACCGACCCGGACGCTGAGATTGCCAGCCGCCCGCCCCACAAGGTCTCCAACGACCTCGACGTCATTCTGAGCGTGCACGCCGACGATCCCACGCTTCTGCTGCCGGCCAACATCTACTCGGCCGCGCGCCACGTCCAAATCGACTCCGCGGGCCTCGACGCCGATCTGCGGTTTACAAACTACTACATGGACGTCGACGTTGTTCTGGCGCCCCTCAGCCTCTCGCTCGGTACGGACGCCTCTTGCGGCGACGATGGCCGCAACAAGGATGGTGACAGCAGCAACAGCCACGCGGACCGCGACCCAGCATCCTTGTCCAACACCCAACTGTTCGTCAACGGCCTGCACGTCTACGGCAATCGCCTCTTTGGTCTGCCTCCTACGGAGCCCACCTACCAGTGCAACTGGGACCTGTCTGTCGGCGCCGTCATGGGCGAGTGCACAACCGATTTCCTGACGGCACTGGCGGGCGGCGGCAAGGCCTTTGGCTTTACGTTTGACGACGACGAAAACGCCCTCGTGCCGTACCACACCCTCGTCATGTACGACATTACCTTTTTGCGCGTCCACGTCCAGTCCGTCAACATCTGGCTGCACGTCGACGAAGCCGCCTTCCTCCTGTCGCTCGAGAACGGCGTCGACGTCAACTACAACGACTGGGCGCGCCAGCACTACTCCAAGCGCGCAGACATTTCCATTCCGGACCTTCAAGTCTCCTGCGTCAACTCTGAATCCGCCATCCGCCACAAGTCGCGGCCCCAGGCGCCCGTCGACACCGACGCGTTTGTCAAGACGAGCTTGAGCATTGCCATTGTCGGCCGCAAGTTTGATTTCACCAACGAGCGCACGCTGCAGCAGGCGCTCATCCG